AATTAAAGAATATTGTGGCATCATTTCACACTGGCGTGTGGACTGACACTACGGCTGGACGATTGTTTACACTGTATGCCACTTTTTTGCATTCACCTGACTGTAAGTGCAATACAATTTAATAAATAGTTGGTTTTAACTTTGGAGCACTATGAGGCTTATTCTTGCTTAATCCTTCCATATACACTATATTGCCAAAAGTATTGAGACGCCTGCCTTTACACGCACAAGACCTTTAATAGCATCCCAGTCTTAGTCCATAGGGCTAGTCACCATGAATTCTCTACGAATTCTCTAGGAATTGCTTGCATAGATGCTTGTGCACTGTGATGGGCAGTTCCCTATTGTTCGCAGATCTGTTCATTATGGTTTATTTGTTTCATTGTTCTGAGGTTTTTCTAATAGATTATGGCTTGATCTTATAGCATAATACCTGTCTTAATGTATGTGGTACACTGCTCCAGATGGCACATTAATTGGCTATCTCCCCTTTGCACTTCCAATAAAAATTTATATGGGAATAGCAAAGGTCTGTAATAAATCGTTATGGAATGTCCGTGGTCTAGGCACTCCCCTAAAACGCATTCTGGTATTTGATGTGTTTAGACTATCCCGAGCGACATTGATTTGCTTTCAAGAGACCCATCTCACTAAAGACACTGTGTCATATCTGTGTAAACCCTGGTGTCAGTGGTCCTCTCACTCCTGGCACACCTCATTATCTTGGGGAGTTTCCCTGATTGTACATCACTCTGATCTGGACGGCAGATTTATCTTTGTACATGCTAAACTGTATTCTAAACCATTTGTTATTATATGCATATATAACCCCCCTCCTGTCACTTTAATGGTGGTGAGAGAAGCAGGGAACTTTGCTGCACAGTGTCCTGAATTATATGTGTTATGCATGGCAGATTTTAATCTGATGCTGGAACCAGTTTTGGGACTCGACAGTGGGCCACTCCTCTTCTATATTTGTGCACCTACTTTCTGAATTGGGCTGGTTTGACTTATGGCACTTCCATCGTCCCTCTACCAGGTTATATTCCTGGCCTGCTCCATTGAGAGGCAGACTCTCCCACATAGGCCTAACCCTGGGTAATGATAAATTATTGCCCTTAACACATTCAGTGACTCCCCAGGGGAGTGTTAGATCATTCCCGGCTTCTTATCTCCCTGATGTTTGGCCTTATTGGCCCTAAGCCAACCTGGAAAATCCACCCCTTTTGGTTGTCCCAGATTGAATGCAGTTATCACATTCCTAATAAAATTAGGTTGTTTCTGGAAGCACATGGGGAATCCCCTGCTAATGGGATGTTTTGGGATGCCTTTGAGGCTATTTAAGAGGTGCACTTAAATCAACTATCTCCTTTATTAAACGGTCATCTGTCTCATTTATGTTCTGATCAGATGTTATTCAATGCCAAACACAAATTATTTTTCTATCACCAGAACAACTTTGAGCACTGGAATCAGTCTAGTAAACTGCTAGCATACCTAGCCAAACAATCTTTGTGTACAACGATTAATAGGGGTAGGAAGGAGCATGGGATCTGAAGCCGAGGGGAGGCACATGAACATTGCATCACGAGGACACATGGGGTAGGAGCTCCTAACCCCACAGAGAAATAATGTACTGATAGGCAGTGAAACCCGACCCTATCCTGCCTTACCTTACCCTGCTTTGCTTGGGTCTGGTCGGTGGGTCCTGTGTACCCTGTGCGGGACGGCGGTGTTGGGGGAGCCACAGCAGTGAATGGAGGCGGCGCTGGAGAGTGGAGGTTGCTGTATCCACCCACAGGACAGAGGCAAGGAAATCTGGGGGACTCCGGAGATGCCGCTGCAGTGGACGATGGACGGGAGAGGACCGAGCATGGAGGTGGTCCCCATGGTGACGTCCCCATGTTAACAGTGACCCCTGGAGAAACCTGGTGACCATAATAATAGCTGAAGGAGCCCAGACCAAAAGGCAAATGGTGGGGAAAGGCTGAGAAGGATCAGGCGATCCCTTTCTATGACTCTGGCGGTGAAGGTGAGTGACCGCGGGTAGAGGTTAAATCTTCAAACTTGTTTGAACTGGCTGTGGAAGGGGAATAGATGCAATATACCCCCTTTGGTGGTCAAAAAAGGGTTTATTTTTGAGAATGTAAAGTTAAATTATAAAGATCAAGCAAAGAACAGGAGGGGTCACCCGTGGGTCCAGAGTAGATGAGAGTTTGTTTTCCATCGGCATATATATCCAAAAGTTCAAAATGAAGAACAGATCTGTAAAAAGGGGAGGAACAAAACCCCCCCACAAACAAATTTAAACACAAGAACTAGAACTATAGAAAGTATATGCCCCCAAAGGAGAAAAGTCCAGAGGCTCTAACACCTGAGAGACAGCAGGGAGTAAGAGGAAGACATGAATTAGGAAACAACAATGAAGATCAAACTAGACTGCTATCAGGTGTATCAAACATGAATCAGACAAAAGATCCCAGAACTATGCAAAGTGAAATAGAAACAGAAAATATGGAGGAACAATGTGCAAGTTCAAAAATGCCTACAAAAATGGATATTTGAAGTTAGAGCACTCTACAAAGAATAAAATGGCTATACTACATAATGATATGGGACAACTCCAGCTCGGGTTGAAGAGTCGGAGGGTAAACTGGAGAAACATGCCCAAATAATTATAAAATTAGAAAAGCAATTGGAAGAAATCCAGAGAGATCAAAGGAAGCTGGCATACAAATTGGAAGATCAAGAGAATAGAGACAGAAGGAATAACTTGGCTTAGGGGCTTGCCAGAAGTATCGCAAGGAGAAGATCTATGGGATAAAATGAGGAAAGTGTTTAACCCAATAATAGGCAAACCAGTGACAGATCAATTGAAAATGGACAGAGTACATTGGGTTGATTTGAAGGGAGGGGGCTTAGGGAGGGGAGGAGTGGGAGGTAAAGATAGATATAGGGATATCTTCTTGTTTCAGACCATTTATACTTCCTCCTCTCTTAGCGGGAATATAGATGGTGTTTTGAAAGAGTTAGAGAAATGAATATGTGTAACTTTATAACATATAATGTGAAGGGACTGAATACTCCAACCAAAAGGTATAAGATTCTCAGAGAGGTACATCAATGCTCTATTGAGGTTTCATTTTTACAAGAGACTTGCATATCTCAAGATACAAATGTAAAGCTATACTCCAAATACTATCCAACATGGTATTATGCTGACTCACCAATAAAAAGGTCAAAAGGAATAGCAATTGGGTTTGCAAAAAATGTAAGATTTACTGTGGAAGAAAGATTGGTAGACCCAGAGGGTAGGATTCTATTCCTGAGAGGGAAACTTCAGGGGATGGAATGTACATTGGCAAATATCTATTATCCTAATTAAAATTCAGTGGTATACCTGGAGGGTTTACCAAGAAAGCTTATAGATTTCAAGAGGGGGATGCTGATTGTGGAGGGGGATTTTAATCTCTGCATGGATCCATTGATGGATGAATCATCGCAGGTGTAGAGAGAGAGAGGTAGAAACTTAAAGTCTGTTAAAAAGATGTTACATCATTGTCAATTAACGGATGCCTGGAGAGTTATACATTCTAGAGAAAGGGATTATACCTTCTTCTCTTCTGTGCATGGAGATTAATCACGATTGGGCTATATGATGATTGAACATAGAGATTTAGAGTCAATGGTGAAATCCAATATAGAAGTAAGTGTTGTCTTCTAATAATTATGAGGTCCACACATAAAACAGTTCATAAGACAAATATGTTGTCAAATATGTTGTCTTATATCAATGATGGAGGACGTATCACCAGTGTATATTTATATATACTTTTCCCACAGCAACCAATAGTTCTTTTCCAGAGAGATGCATTTATTCGGATAAAGATATTTGTTACAGATGACAGAAATCCAGCTGAATACTTGTAAATATTACAATGAACAACAACCCTCAAAGTCCCATTTAAGATACTTCATATCAAGCATAGAGATACTACACTGTCCAGCATATGTTCGATCTATAATATGCACCTAGGTAGCTTCCATGAATGCAATAATGTATGATCTATACCTGTGCTCCCATATCAATGACAGGAAAAAACTCTCTTTCCCAGTGGAGGTACAGACAAGGTAGATGACAGGCAATCATTAGAACACTTCAGAGAACCTTCCTGTGTCCTGTCACCTGTGTCTCTTAACCAAAAAGAAGCTTCCTTAATATACACATTTTTCCCATTCAGTACAATGGCAAACATTCTGATTGGCCACTTTGATCTTACATGAAAAGACTTCACTTGTCATTACTAGATAACAATTGAGGTCACTATAGTGTTTATCAGATACACAAGTCATCCTTTCACCATTTCCCATGAATTACCCCCTGGAGACCATCCTTAACCACCTCCCGTCCGGATGTTGTATATAAACGGCCAGATGGTGGCAGTGCAGGGGCTGGTGGCCTTTTATAAAAGGCCTCTCCACCCCCTGCTTGTGCGCGCTCCCTGGGAGCATGCAGCACCGCGATCCGGTGCCCGCTGTGCCCGCTCCTCCGGACACAGTGGAACACCGGTTGTCGTACGGGACCTCTGTGCGAGGTCCCGATCATGTGATCACTGATTGGCCAATCAGTGATCACATGCAGAGTAGTAAGCAAGAGGTCACTATCAGTGCACCAAGGATGTGGCTTCACAGCCGGGTGCCCACTGCGCATGCGCGAGTAGCACTGCACATTGTGAATGGCCCCGTGCTCTTCTGGAACCTGTCACGTGTCCCAGAAGACTACGGGGAGGGAGGGGGGAGGACAACTTCCACTTCCTAGGCAATCGCAGCGGAAATGGGAGCGGGTACCTGTCAAATTTGGGTGCCCGCTCCCCCCCTGCTCCCCAAAGGTGCCAATCCTTAATGGGGAGCAGGGGACAAAGCCTTAAAGCGGAACGTCCCCTTTTGGGTGGAGCTCTGCTTTAACCACCTTCCGCCCGCCCTATAGTACAATCGGAGATATCGGCTCCATCATGTGATCAGCTGTGTCCAATCACAGTTGATCACATGTAAACACGGAAATGCCGGTTATCGGCATTTCTCTCCTCTCGAGCTGTCACGCTGACAGCTCAAGAGGAGAGGAGAGCCGGTAATCGGAATTCCGCGGAGGGGACATGTACACTGATCATCAGGGCACTGATGATCAGTGTGCCCTGATGATCAGTGTGGCCCCAGAAGTGCCACCTGTCAGTGCTCATCAGTGCCAGTGCCCATCAGTGCCACGTGCTAGTGCCCATCAGTGCCACATCAATGCCACATATCAGTGCCCATCTGAGCTGCCTTTCAATGTCACCCATCAATGCCAATCAGTGCCACCTATCAGTGCTGCCAATCAGTGCCAGTCAGTGCTGCCAGTGCCGCCTGTCAGTGCCAGTCAGTGCCGCCTATCAGTGCCAGTCAGTGCAGCCTATCAGTGCCAGTCAGTGCTGCCTATCAGTGCCACCTGTCAGTGTCATGTATCAGTGTCATGTATCAGTGCTGCCTTTCAGTGCCCATCAGTGATGCCTGTCAATGCCTATCAGTGCAACCTACCAGTGCCTCCTCATCAGTGCCCATCAGTGCCACCTATCAGTGTCCATCAGTGCAGCCTATCAGTGCCGATCACTGCAGCCTCATTAGCGCACATCAGTGAAGGAGAAAAATCACTTATTTACAAAATTGTATAACAAAAACTAAGAAAAAAACATTTTTTTTTCAAAATTTTCAGTGGTTTTTGGTTTGTTTAAGAATAAATAAAAATCCCAGAGGTGATTAAATACCACCAAAAGAAAGCTCTATCTGTCTCAAAAAAATTATAAAGATTTCATATGGGTACAATGTTGCATGACCGCGCAATTGTCATTCAAAGTGTGACAGCGCTGAAAGCTGGAAATTGGTCTGGGCAGGAAGGGGGTATAAGTGCCCGGTAGGCTAGTGGTTAATAAAGATAAAATAAAAAAAAGAGGTAGGAATACAGAAGGGGTGACACTTTCTTCAGCCGGGGAAATTATGGACAGTTTACCATGAAGATTTCCTTGACAATGACATATCTGAAGATGAGGTCAGTGATGCCATCATCCTTAGCAGTGGGAAAAGCCTCAGGCCTGGACGGTATACTTCTGGAAGAGTACCATAGATATATTGATATTCCTGCCCTGGTTTTAGCTAAGGTGTATAAGAAAGCCTATAAACAAAATACTTTGCTCTTGGACTAAACAAAATAATCTTATCTAGAATTCATCCAGGCCAAACTGTCTTTATGCCTGGAAAACCCATGTCTTTATCCTGAGGATGCAGATAATAGGTCAATTGACCGACTATCTCCCAGGTGTCTTTAGACACCACCAGGGCCTTTGCCTCTATTGAGTGGCCTTTCTTACAAGCAGCGTTACACCACTTTGACTTTGGAGATACTTTTAGATGCTGGGTCTCCATTTTATAAGCCCATCTCACCTCTAAACTATTGGTGAACGGTACTCTATCTCCTTCGTTGTTTTTACATAGGGGTACAAGACAGGGATGTCCATTATCCACACTCTTGTTTGCAATTGCAATTGAGCCGCTAGCCTTACATTTTAGGCAATCCTCTTTGTTTCCAGGTATTGCTATAGGCAATACCACTGATAAACTTGGACTTATGTGCATGACATTATCCTATACATGTCAGACTCTATGGCTTCCTTAGACCCTGCTATGTACATAATTAACCATTTTCGTACTTTCTCAGGTCTATGCATAAACTGGCAGAAATAATCCTTAATGTCGCTAAGTCCTCAGCCATCAGACTCCACCGTTTCAATGTACCACTTAGTGCTCGTTCACATATAAGCGGATTGGATGTGATTGGAACCGCATCCAATCTGCATGACATGTGAAATACCATTGCTTCCTATGGTGCCTGTTCACATACAGTATGTCCAGTGCATGGCTGGTGCAGATTCAGTGCTGTTTTAAAAAGAGTCATGTCCGATTTCTGAGCAGTGGGTTCAGGTGCAGACTACAGGCTATTGACTTCTATGGGAACCATTCCTAAACCGCATATGTGTGAACAGGATAAGATCCTGAGGTAATCCTTTCCTGAACCTGATGTAAACCTGACATGAACCTGTGAACAGCCACTGTATCAATTAGCTGTGAGACCTGAGCTTCAATCCGCACCACGTATGTATGAATCAGCTCTTAAGGTGGTCTCAGATTTTTTAATTTTAGGGATTATAATAATGGTGACACCCTCTCCTGCCCAAGTGTCTGTATATTCCTTAAGACATTAACTGTCTACCTTACAGAGACCTAAGACTGCTGCCGATATGGCTGTGCCAGATAATTACCTGTACTGTTAAAACATCCCAAGCCCTGGGTGTCCACTGATCTACCACTAGGGGCAGAAGCACGTGTCCTTTTGGTACTACAGATATCAAATCTCCTAGTGGGTCTGGCAGCCCCTCTCTTCTCACTACCTAAAGCAAAATTGCCTATTCTTAACCTAGCCTGGTCAGTTTGGAGAGAAACTAGAAAACTAGCTAAATACACAGGCACTCCTTTGGAATCTCCATTATTGGACAACCCCACCTTTCCACACCTTGTAGAGCTACAGGAAACTGTATTCTGGAAGATAATTGGTTTATGAACCCTGTCAGTTATATCTATGCCAATGACATCATTCAGTCCTTTGATTATATACGCAGATGTTTTGATATAGCCCACAGTGCCTTTTACCACTATCCATAACTAAGACATGCCCTCCAAACTCAATTTAGCTACCGTAACTGCTCTATCTCTACATAACCCTTAATTGGGATACTCCCAGATTAAATGCCTCTTTCATTGCATCTGTTCCTTTCCTCTTCTGCTAACTGGACCTGAGATCCTGGTGATGGTTTGAATGCACCAGACTGCAGGAAGCATCCCATTGCTCCCACCAAATGTGACTGACCGCCTGGCACCCTGCCTGGTTGCTTTCCGTCAGACAACTACTTCCTCACCGCTGGGATATAGCAGCAAGGTATTATTGCACCCAAGACTAGGCTACACTAGCTTAGGAGCAAAACTGGAACTACAGAAATACAACAGAAATACAGGTTTTTATACACTTCAGAAATAGGGGCAGTCCCCTTGTGAACAATAAAAACAAATATTACACATTGGGGTAAACATTTCACACTGATTAGATAGCGAGGTAAAGCCAGACTAATTTCATCATGTAGAAACCTCCAGGAGGACTCGCCAACAGACAAAAACAATAAGTGACTCAATTTACTTAATTAACAATGGGACAAAGACGCAGTAAACACATCACACCTTAATAAACAGCAAGAGACTTCAGCATCAAGTAGTTTTCAGCTGATTACCTTAACATCTGCTCTGAGTCTAGAAAGGGGGGTTGCAGCAGTCAATGCTGGTTTGGGCACAGAGTCCCCAAATCTGTATCAGGGTCCTCCAGTTCTCAGAGTCTGTGTTTTTAGGGCAGACATGGACTTGAATACAAAGTAAAACTACTCCAAAAGGTCCCCCAGGCACACACTTCTAAAAGGTTAGAGCCCACTCAGGTGCCAGGGCCCATAGTCAGTAGGCAAGAGGCTAGCCTGCAGTCTCCACCAAAATACCCTGTCCTGCTTGGATATGTCACATGGACCCTTTGTCAGGGAACCTGCACTCCACCAAGAAGCTTGGGCTACCCATCCCTGCTAGTCACTGTCATCCAATCAAGTAGTACCATACTCCTACCTAATTAGACAGTACAGTATAATACTGCAATACTAGTTAAGCCCTGTCAGGGAGGGCATAAAACCTCCCCCCATAATTCTCTCGATAGAAGAGGAATCTCCATAGAATCTTACTTCGGAAGAGACCTTAGTGAGGGGTTCCACCAATGAACTTGTAAACAGACTACCAAACTCTTTTACCAGTTTTCTCAATAACCCAATCAAATCATCAATGGTCCACTGTGAACATTCCTTCTCCAGAATAGGTCACATCCAGGTTTGAGCCACTCAATTTTCTTTTCACATTTATTATACAATAAATGTAATAATATAAATCATTGACCCTATCCATAACCTTCAGCAGTTATCTGCTGTGAAGCCAGAAAGAATAGTCCTAATTATATAACTCTAAATGATTTACGTTGCTTAGTTCTTTGGCTGACATATGTCTTTTATTTGAATTGTATTTTTCTTTTGCCTTATGCATGCTGAATGAGAAATTTCAAAGTGTTATATTTCTGCCTCCAAGTAGCGCCATATTATGTCCTCTGGAGAACAGAGCATTATGAAAGGGTATGACATGAATTATTTTCTTGCTCAGACTGTAAACATAAACCTTTGATAAACTGCTTCTGTAATCGTTTTTGAACCATTAATGTTTTACTGGCAATAGTGAATCATAGATGGTGGACAGGAGTTTCCTGTTTGAGCTATACATGCACAAAGATTACTCTGGGATTTACTGGAATTCATTATTTATTTTAGAGAAAAATATCATCTATCCTGTTTTTTTTACAGTCTAGAAAAAGAAATTACTGATGTTTGATTTCATTTGTATAAAATACAATTATCACAATACTAAAGCACAGCCCATTTCAATCTTTTATTAGTACTTTTTGGTATTAACTATTTTAGGTTAGGTTGACAAGTATGCAACAATAGTTCAATAAAACTGCAATATACTTATAAATTACTACATTCCTTATTTACCTATAATATTACTGTTCCATAAAGTAAATAAGGGAAGGGGATTGAACATCTTATTAAAAGTAACTTTATTAAAAGTATTTTTTATTAAATAGAAATAGGTTGCATGTTTGGAGAAATGATTACAAACTTATAAGAAGATTATAAGGGAAAATTAACATTAAAAAGAGTTCTTCTTGGGGCCAGGGGTTCTATTTTCTATAGGACCTGCCAATTTTGTTAATTTGAACCCTTTCCAATTAAGAAAAAGAAAGCGTAGGTGTATTTTTACATGCTCAACTGACAACTTGTAAAATATGTTCTTATTATTTTTAGTCCCTAATTTTTCCAAAAAAGATCAACTCTAATTTTTCTTTTGGCTAGACTAGGGAAGAGTAAAGGCTTATGTCATATTTTTATATCTCTTTCAGTAAGGAGATTTCACTTTACTTACTGTCTCTGTGACAGCAGGGAAATTATGAGATCAATCATGACTGTAGCAGGAAAACAAGGGCAATAATAATACCGTGACAGGTTCTAGTCCTTCTTCATTTCCAAAAAAAAAGTGCTTTGTTGTAGACTATGCCCTCACTGAAGAGATTTCACTTCTTGTGAGCATGAAGTCAGAAGAATTTTCCCCAATGGGGATGCAGTGCAAATAAAATCTTGCCATAGATTCTACTTCTTCCCTAACAATTTAAAAATACAGTAACAGCAACAAAGTCAAGCAT